TTTAGAGCGGTTTCAGCATTTCCCAAAACAGATTCTGTTTAAGGAATAATTCAATGGCAGAGAACACTTTGCCCAACATGTGCTGTAATGCCATGTTCCCTAATTGCCCCCTACTTACCTAAGTGGAACCATTGTATTTGATGCCATGTATTTATCACAAGAGCCATAATCCAGCTCTTTGGCTCCAGCTCAGAGAGAGTGTGCTGATCATACAGGGCAATTGTATGGAGGTGCAAAGCTGATGTAAGGATACACAGTTGGTGGTGCACACATCCCACGGGATGGAGTCTATATCAGGCAACAGGTTATTTTGAATACTAAACATTTGGACAATATAGCAGGGCACCAGAAAATTTTAATTCATGAATCTAATTATTAGCCGCCCTTTCATTTTTGCTTTGTTTGGGAATTGCCCCTCTATTGTTTCATAGAAGTAATACAATAAAGAGACCTTAAAAACAATGAACCGTCATAGCTCATTGAAAAACAAAATAGATATTCTGCTTTAGAAGTCAACCTCCAATTCGGTGTTGTTTAGCAACCAGGTTAGGACATAGCTTCTCTCTGGCAACAGTCCAGAAATGCAGCAACTTTCTTCCTTCTCTGTTCTTGAAGGAGAGCAGTTTAGTTAGCTCATCCTCCTTCTGCTTCTGTAACACTGATGTGAACATTCACAGCTGAAAAGAGAGTAGATCTGTTTCAGTGATTTCCAATACCACCTGAAGTTCAGCTTACAGTCAGAACTTGTCTTTTTCTTTTTAAAAGTTTCCCTCAAATTTAATTGTGGGAGCTGGTGTTTTGTTTCCCGACCAGCAGGATATTTTACCGAAACGCCAGGACTTGAATTATTTATTGGAGTAAAACCAGAGTTGCACATAAAGCATATTAAGGAGAAGGAGGTCCCAGCACCATGGGGTTTTACCAAAGAGCAGGATTAAAGATAAACATGGTCTACATTAAGACCAGTAAGTTGGTTGTTGTTTTTTAAAAAAACTTCAGCCTGACACCTTCTCCCTACCAGTTGAACGTTGCAACAGACTTAGTGACGCGCCAAAATTAATTCAGCTCATATGCACTTTATATATGTACCAAGCACACATACCACTTCTAAGAAATCAGTGCTGACTTCTTATTTCTAACCCCCCAATCAAAAGCATGTGATGCAGATGAAATAGCTATGTGTAAAGAGCAGTCTGGTGGCACAAGGTTGTATTAGGGTATGCATTACCATACATGGAAAGTTTTTGCATTTCCATTGGCGAATAAGCCCCATTAAACGCAGTTAGGCTTATTTTCAAGTAGACATGCATAGGATTGAGCGATGAAAAGAATATAGCAAATTGTCTAAGCGTGGTTCCAGATGGATGCCTATTGTGTTCTTCATGCATGCAGGTTTTTCCTGCATCCACACGGCATCATAGCATTCAGATACCAGCTCATATTTTTCTATTTCATCTGCATTTCCCTTTCCAGGCAAAATCTGATTTAGTAAAAAACAAACAAACAAACAACTACCAGTATCTATTTGAGATAACTGAATGATTCCATTCGCATACTAAGTCCTCATCTGGAAGTAATCTGAGTGCCATTTTTAGGATGTTAAACTAACTTACCTATGTTTTCATATGCACACCTGCTTCAATTTCAGTTGTTATTAATACATTTTAATACTTTGATTTTGCAAACAACTTTAATTCAGTTAATTGTACTGTAATCATATTAGTAATTAAGAGCAAAAGTTGATGCAAGAATCCTACGTGGGTTCTGGAGTTTTGTAGGTGTTAGGAAAGCCCGTTGTGTTTTCTCCAGTACTTAGCAAATATTCCAGATGGGTTTAAATAAGGAAACTGCAAGGTTGTGCTTTGAGGTGGAAGACACATTTCTGTGATTATTGGGTCTTACAAACCCACCCCGCCCTGGTTGCCTCCACCGACCAGAGCCAGTTGAGCTTGGCCCCATCAAAATTATTTTATTAATTTATTGCTGTTCACTTAAGTCTTGAGGCTATTTAAAATTGTACAATAACAACAACTGTAATAGGTTTTAAAAACAATGTGAATGTTAAGATTGCTTTTCATTAAAAAAAACCTGTCAGGGCTTTCTTTGTTGCATGCATGTAACATGTAGTTCACCTCTTAGTGGTGTTCAACAATGAACTGTTATATTCAATGAGGTAGGGATGACTTGTTGGTATGGGAGTGTTACGGCTAAATCTGGCGTGCGGGGCTACACTGCCACCCAGCTCGTCGGACTAAGTGTCCGCGGGTCCCTGCGGAAGAAAATGAGCTCAGCCGGACAGGAGCAAACTGCAGAAGATCCAAGTTTATTGCGCAAACAGGTTCAAGGCGAGATTGAACAGCGAAAAGGGGTGACATGAACTTTTGAAACTCCCCTCCATGTCCCAGAATACAGTGCAAAATACATCCCAGTTACATCATGAATACATTAAGGAAAGGTTGGGTTACACAGATTACATCATGAATACATTAAGGAGAGGTTGGGTTACACTGGATTAACATATGGAGGAGGGAGGGGGGAATATGCAGAGAGCTGGAGATATGGAGGAGGGAGGGGGGAATATGCAGAGCTGGAGATATGCGCAGATAAGCACATCCTGAGAAGACAATGGTCCATGTATGCGTAGTCTGTCACCTGGCATTGCCCGGAGGAAAGGTTTGGCAGAGTGATTTTGACAGGATTAGGGTCTTGACACCTTACTTGAGGCATTATGGAGGGCAGGGGAGGGGTGATGGAGTCCTAGAGAAATTGAGCAAATATATTGTAGTGAAGAAGACATGCCCCCCCCCCTTCCGTAACAGGGAGAGATGTGATTCATAAAGCACTTCAAACAACAGATTTCTGTTCTTCCTGTGTCTTTCAGTCCTGGGGGAAACCCAACACTACTTTTTCTGTTTCCGCCTGCAAGTGGTATTTCCTATTCTGCCAACAGGAAACAACCTTTCAATATGCATGAATTAATTTGTCCTCAGCAGACTAATCCTTAAGGATGGCTTGTTTAAACACATTATGCTAATCTGAGTTATTGTTCTAACTTCATTGGGAGAAAGCACATTCAGTTTTTTTGGTTTAAGACAGTGGATTCAGATGACTGTTAACCATGTGGGAACTGCTTCAATGCCTCTCTATGTGAACATGGAGGTTTAGTAGTTTCTGGTTGCCTGAGTCCACCCTCACTCCACATTTAACAGTGCAAAAGAAGTTGTGATTTTCAGTGTTTTAAGTCGTAACCAAACTACCTCATTTCAACAGAGTGATATGTTGCTTCCTGGCATTTTTGCAAATGTTAATTTCCATCGTGCAGCTGCCTTGTGAGCATTGCTTGACCTTTGTGTTATCTTAGTTTGAAACTAATTATTGCTCAGTTTTGCAGGCCTTGTCAGCTGCCTGGCCAGCCCATCCCCTTTCCATTAGTTTCCCCCAGGCAACTTTTCACACTGGACATAGAAAGATTAATCACTCATTCTCAGGCATAGAAAACTGGAAGCACTGGGAGTGTAAGCTGCCATTGAGTCTTCCACATCAGCAACTCATCTGCTCCTTTTCTGTCAACTGTATCCTGGAGGCTGCTTCTGAGAGCTACTTTTCTTGTTTGAACTAATGTTTATTGTCATCACCTCAGCAACTTTTCTGGAAAAGGCTATTGAAATCAGGGTGATCCTGTAGCTTGGGCAGTGTTATTAAATGTCGATATAGTGAAGGTTATTGGGGCTTTTCAAGAGATCTTATAAGTTGACAAGGAAAGAACATTAGTGTAATGTAGACTTGACATTGGGATGATAGATTTGGCCTAAAGGTGTTATACTTGAAGAAACGTGTAATTAACAAGAATTCCAAGAAGTGCCTCATGTGACTGAATCCAGCCATTGTGTCAATGTTCCACAATGGTCAGAAGCATCATGGGAAAGGGTAGCTAGAGCCAGGCACCAGCACTGATTGAAACATTTCCGTTGCAGCTACCGTATGTAGGTTGGCCTGCCAGAGGATAGGTTGTCTGGGGTCCATCAAAGCTAGAGTCCCATTTGGAGATGCTGGGGATTAAACTTGGGACTTTTCGCATGAAGACTATGTGCTCTACCACTAAACTAAGAGTCTTCACCGCTTTGGATTTTGTTTTGTATGGGCAGGAACCTTTTAAACTGATTTCAGTGCAAAGCTCAACAGCATGAAAGAACAGCGAGTTCCCTTTTCGATTCTAATAAGCTGGCAGTAATGAACAATGAGCTAATAGATCTCATTTGCAAGGTATGATCATTTCCCTTGCCATAGGACTCTGAAGAAATAGGCTGCGAAAGAGGAATGGTTATTAGCATAATTCTTTTGCTGCTCATACCATAGATGTCATAATAAACATCAGTAGATGCTTGTGACCTAGAAATCTGCTTTTAGGTTATGTAAATGCAAATGCTTAGTAATTAAATAATTGGAATCAAGATACAGAAGTCAATTTAAAATAAAAGGATACTTGTTGGATACCTCACATTTACTTATTTGTGTAAATTAGAAAAATAACATTCAATATGGTAGGAATTAAGTACCGTAGGTTTTGCTTTGAGGGTTCTGCTGACCACCAAATGCTTAGCATTGGATTGCTTAGAAGTCACAAATTCCTTCTTACACAACTGTGTTGGACATAATTAAATTAGTATTGCATTTGGAGATACAGTAATATTAATATTAATATTAATATTAATATTTATAAATGCACTAGCCACTTTTCAGCGTAAGGTCCCAGGGTAGGAACAACAATTTTAAACACAACATTGACAATTGTTTAAAGCAAACACCATATATGTAAGACCGCGTCACTGGAGGATTAAGATTATATTCGTATAATTCAGCTCTCACTTTCCCCCCATCCAGTTCCTTCTTTCTGTGTTTTTTTCCCTTTTTTCAGGTTAATATTATGATTGAACAGTTGGAGTTAGGAGCAATAACAAGAATAGTAATAATAACTTTGGCTTGTCTTTCTTTCCCATCAGGTGGCAGTGAAAGTTATTGATAAGAAAAGAGCCAAAAAGGACACCTATGTCACCAAGAATCTGAGGCGGGAGGGACAGATCCAGCAGATGATCCGACACCCTTACATTGCTCAGCTGCTGGATATCTTGGAAACGGAAAACAGCTACTACCTTGTTATGGAGCTTTGCCCAGGAGGCAACCTGATGCACAAAATCTATGAGAAAAAGAGGCTGGAAGAGCATGAAGCACGCAAATACATCCGGCAGCTTATCTTGGCTGTTGAACACCTACATCGTGCAGGGGTGGTTCACAGGTGAGCTTGCTTATTTATTTAACATGAGTGTTCTGCTTTTGAAGACCACCCTTCACAGAGATCTTTACAGTATATTCACGGATGCAAATATCATTTGGCAACTATTAAACAATAGTTTAATAAAATCAATCTGTCGTTACATAAATTAAGCAGTGGCGGTTATAAATAAAACAAGATGGAACTTGTATGTGAAAAGTCTTCCCAAGGGAAATTGTATCATTCTTGTTCAGTTCAGAGTTTCTGGTGGTCGGTTAAAACGTACATTTTGCAACATAACTTTTGTGGACTCCGATTTTATTTTTTTATAATTTGTTGCTAATTCTTGATACGCCAGTTTTTTTTAAAAAAAAATAAACTCTAGTTAGTTCACTGGTTAATTTTAAGTGTTTTTTAAAATTATATTTTGTTTTAACTATGGGCTGTAATCCAGTTTGAAAGACTTAATGGCAGAAAAGGCAACCTAAATGGTTAAATTATATACCTATCTTTTCTACTTTGTGTGATTTAGTTGACTGGCACAATATCCAGCCAGGAGTGTAGAGAGTTTCTTTATAGGCAGGCTCTAAAAGTGTGCAAGCACTATGTGTCACATATCAATTCAAGCAGTTTGCTATTATTTTAATTATAATGGACCCTTTAAAAAGGAGTGCTAAATCCATGTTTTAGAAAGTCACAATTCATTCTTGCCTTAAGTGCAGTTGGCGATGAAGTTATTTTAAATCAGCTCTAAAAATAACAGCACTTGCACATTTGTGATCTGTAGGTGTTCACATTCTCTCTTTATGATAAACAAGACGTGGCTGTTCTTGGGGGATGGAATTTCTTGCTGCTGTACCTTTTACAATATATACTCATGATCTCTGAGCTTGTTTAACAGAACAGGTGAGGACTTCCACCAACAACAACAAAATCAAATTCATTAGAGATATTATTCAGCCGGCTCTATCACAAATTATTTGTCCTTGTGTGGTAAAGTAGGTAAATAATTAGACTGAGGGAAAGGAGTGATTAAATTCAGTCATCTTATCAACATGAGTCATGCTATTGAAAATTGATATTAGTGAATTGTAATTATTGAAGAACCTTAAAACTTTTATGACCTTGAATTCAGCTATAGAAAATTTTACTGTCATATGAAAATACTTGGTATTTTAAGGTTAAAAGAAGTGTTCAAGGTGTCCAACTCTTCAGCTAAGGAAATATTTATTCTTTTGTCCTGCCTGTCATTTTCAGTACTTGGCCTAAAATTGAAACCTCCTTAACCTTGTGAGCTGTAGTAGCCTGGTTGACATGTCACACTGTAAGCTAAACTGTGGCTTACTGAGGCTGCCTGAACATACTGATTCTCCTTTGTTCCTCCCTAGTCCTCTTAGTTTTTAGTGTGCTGTGTTAGTTAAGTCGAGGCTTGGCTTAGTGTGTCATCCAAACATGGGATTTTGGTTAAGCTCTTTTCTTAACCGTGATATCTAGCCAAGGTTTTCTGCAGATCATGGTTAAGGAGGAGAGAGTTTTAAGCACAGTCCCGCGTTCAGATGACACACTAAGCCAAATCTTAGCCGCCATGTTGTGTTGAAAGAATTGAGGAGGAGCAAAATGGAAGCAGTCTCCTCCCTGGGAGCCAGCACATTCATGCATTCGTGTTAAACCGTGGTTTGACTTAGAATGATGTGTGAACACAGCCTGTGTTCTGTAAAACTCTCACTAGTAGCCAGTCCACCAGTATCCAGCAATTTTCTGGGTCGTGAGCTCGTCATTTTGAAGCCGCGGCTTCACATAATATATGAATCCTGTTATCCTGTGAGAGAACAGAGAGTTGCCAGTGGAGTGTAAGCTCTTCCTACACTACATGAGCCCACTGCTTCACCTTCCCATTCCCAACAACTCAAAGGGACAATGGGGCAAACATTACACCAACTTGCTTTTCTAATTTTCTGTTTTGGGAGTTTTAACAATGAAGTACAATCAAAGGCTGTAAATCAGAACCCAAAAGGAGGGTTTACCTAGCTAATTCCTAATGTTTGTCCACAAAATTCAGTCCTCCCTGGGTGTTTTTCCCAAAGAGATGACGTGAGGTTACCAATATCTTTAAAAGAAATTCATAGGTTCCTGTCATGTGTTGTTTGCCCCGTGGTTTGTTTTTGTTTGGGTTCTGTGTGTTCAGCGTGGATAGCTTTGGACAGCTTTAAAAGGGGAATAGGCAGATTGATGGAGGATAAGCAGAGGCTGCTAGTAGTGATGATTGTGTTCTGTGCCCAGTGTTGGAGATTGAGGGCCTCTGAATACCAGTTGCAGAGCGGGAAGCGTGCTTTTATTCCATTTGTCAGCTTCCCATAGACATGTGGTTGGCCACTGTGAGAATAGGATGCTGGACTATATGGGCCTTTAGTCAGCTGCAGCAGGGCTTGTTATGTTCTCAGAATCTGTTTTGGTGCTCAAAGTGCCAAAGCACTAGGCATCCCAGAGGAGCTCCTCTTATTTATTTCTACCCTGCCATTCCTTCCAAAGGAGCCCAGGGATGCTCCTTTTAACACAGTCACCATGCCCAGTCATTTTGCTTGGGAGCTATTGGCTTCCCTAGGGTCTTCCATCATTAATTGGACTTTAAGGCATGTAAGATGGGTACTGTAGCCTTCTTCATGCTCTTTTGGATTGCTTGTTGCCAGATTATATTGTAAAAGATGATTCTATGACTGTCAGTCTGTGTTTGTCTTGTCCTAGCAACGTTTGATGAAGCTTGGCTGATTTTCCCTTGACCTAATGAAGTTTGTAATGCCAAATTGAGAACCCCGTTTTAAGAATACTGTACAGCCTTTTTACAGCCAAAAGCTCTTGCCAAGCAGTCATTTCTGATGCCTGTCTCTGTGGGGTCATTTTGAGAAGGTCTGTAAACTTTGGCCTGTGGTTTGTTCATTGTTGAAGCCATAGAAGCATCAATCTCAAATCAGAATTAGATAGCAGTCATTGTCTCTTTGTCTGACAGCAAGAAAACAATCCCAAATGGCAATATATGGGAAGCCTTTTCTTTTTAGAAGATATTTACAGAGGCCTTCATGCTGTCAAAAACAGGATGAGCATTAAGCTTCCTAAGGGAGTAAGAACAACAAAGACAATGAAGTTAAGGCTTTGGTGCTTGCAATAGCATCCCACAGGAAATTCTCAACAACCCTTTTAAAGTAATTTTAACCAAATTCAATCCTATTCAGTGCAATTACTGTCAGAATGTCAGAGAAAGGAATTTAATAATGTACCAGTGGCAAAGACAGCTTCCTGTGTATCTGTTTTTTCCACTATTTCTTTCAGTGTGGAGCTAGATGCATATCACTTTGAATTTGGTTATTAAGCAATGCTTTGGGAGATGTTAAAATACACACATTTCTGTATTTTGTGAGCTATAATAGCATATGGATGTAAGAGACCAAAGTTTGAATGCTGTACCTCCATGGTATCACCTTGGACAAGCCACTATCGCTCCGTCTTCATTTCCTATCTGTAAAAGGGACTAAGAATTACCTTTTCATATATCATTCTCTGCATCATAGGTGCTGCCAGACAGCCTCTTCTGTCTGATAATAGCCCAAGTTTCCTGCATTGGGCCATGTCATGGAAGACTTGGAGGACATACCAGTTGAGAATGTAGGCAACAACTAGTCATAGGACATTCCTAATTCTTTCCTAATACATCTATTTTGTTATTCACCATGTCACTATACTGTCTGCTTGGGTCACTCATGGCATTTGGTTAGACCTTGGTGGATAATGTCAAAGATGTCTTTCCTTATACAGTACAACAATAACGTTCTTTTGTTTGTTTGTTATGACTTCCAATTCACATGGTTGCCCATAGTCAATAAAGAACTTTCTAATCACCTCTGAAGCATTGCTGAGGTATTTAAACCATCCTGACTCTGACTTCAAAAAGTGTGAGACTGTTTACAGCTGATGAAGCCTATTTGCAGGTACTCATTAGGTAACTTGCAAATGTCTCTTCTGAAGTTGCCCCCAATGAGGGCTTTCCTTCCAATGCACATAGCAACTTCAGAAGAGATACTTTCCTTTGGATATCACCAGGGGAGGAAAATGTTAAATTTCCTCATCCATGCCTGGTGCAATCTTGATAGTATCTCCTCCCCCCCCCCCCCCGCAGCTGTTGCTGTATGCATTTTTTAAAGTTGATGCATTAAACCTCTACAACATTTGGTTTGGCCTTGCTCCTTCTTGCTGTGTAACACAAAGTGTTAGCAGGATTGTCAAATGCTTAGGCATTTTTGGCAACTTTTTCTGTTCCAAGAGGTAACATTAATAGGCCCTCAGGTAGGTTGTTACGAGGATGACAGAGATAGTGATTGTAAAGCATTTTGAACATTGCAGAGGCTATGGAAATAAAATGCAAACAATGACAAAAACATTTGAAAGTCTCTGATAGCACCCCTCAAGTACAGTTATTCCAGGCATCTTAGATTTTGTTTCTTGGCACCCATTGCTTGATCTCTAGAAGCATTCAGCCAACTAATTTTAAGTACAGTCTGATGGCTAGTGCAATATTTATGTCAGAATTCTGCAGCACTGAGATTTGCTTCCTTTTGAAATGTAAAGTTGGCTTTTCTTCCATAGGTTTGCCTTAGGAATGCAGTTTAACTGCACAAGGCCACAAATATCCCAAACTATGCTTTGAAGTCAGTGAACAATTTTCCTTCTTCCACTTGCGTTATGGTGATATATGTTTTTCAGCCTTATTGTGCCTGCATTTCTGTTCCATGCAGAAGACTAGGCCCAGTAAATATCATTTGATAGCATAAATCAAATATACATAGCCTTTAAAACTCTTTTCTGTACAAAAACTGTCTGTTCTCGCGTTTTTTCAAATGGAGACTGTCTAATATGGTTTCATGACACATACCACAATGCAGGAAAATACCACTAGACTTCCCAGCCACAATATTCCAGAGCAACTCTCATTAATTTCAGTCAGTTTTGTGGAATAGAACTGTTTGATGGATTGTGCCACAACACATATATTAGACCAAGTGTACCCGCATGGTAACTACATTGGACTACAACTCGATCATCTCTATAGCATAACATTAAGATCCTAATAACGATCTGATGCACGTGGAAAATGACAGTGGTTACTGAAACTTTGAAAATATCAAAAGCTTGAAGGCCTGCATTCTCATTAAACGTGTTTGTCTGTTTCAGAGATTTGAAGATAGAAAATCTCTTGCTTGATGACGACAACAATATCAAGCTTATTGGTATGAAACTCTTATTGCAATTTTGTTGACTGGTATTTTTGTTATAAAATGTGTCCCAAAACATTCTGTGTGGCAGTATATAGCAGTGCTTTTTAGAGGAATGTGGCAAAAGAAGTTGCAATCCTGTGGTCTTCTAAGCATATATAATTTTTTTCAATGAGCACTAGTAAGTAGCACACAGCCCCAAATGTGTTACTTGCAAGTAAGACACTTTAAATTGATTTGATTTCATTTAATTTCACACCTGTATGCTCCTTTTAAAAAAAACAACCCCGAGTTCAGTAACAAAGCATTAACAAATGAAAACAATACCTAAAAGCAATATTCAACAAAAATACAATAATACACACACACACACACACACACACACACACGCTATTAGATTTATATGTCACCAGCTCAAGGTTGTATACTGGTTCTCCTCCCCATTTCATCCTTACAACAACCTTGTGAGGTAGGTTAGGCTAAGAGGTATTGGCTGGTTCAAGGTCACCCAGTGAACTTCATGGCTGATTGGGAATTTGAATCTCAGTTCCCAGATCATAGTCCAACACTCCAACCATTATTCCATATGGGCAAAATTACAAAGTACAAATCAATCACAATGGATATATGTTAGGAATGTCATTTTACCCTATGACAAGAAACAGAAAAAACATCCATCAAACCACCTCTATCTGTCACCTAGGGTGTACATACTCCCCTCCTATCTCTCACTCGGGAGACAGATTCCACCAGCAAGTTTTTACCAGTTGGTGGCTTCAGTAAGCTATACTTCCTCATAAAACTGTGGTAATAAAAGCCATTTTCACAAGGGGTATCAACATTGTTTTTACAAAACAATGGAGAGGTTAAAGCAATATGGGAAAATGCCATTTTAAATATAATTAACAGTCCCTGAAAATTAATCAACTGAAATGGTTGATGCTTGTTTTCATGTACTTGCATGCACATGTAGTCCTAATAATGTGTATTCTCGGCCCCTAATCACTACTTTTGCCACAGACAAATGCAGCATCTGGTCTCTGTTCCTGTTTTTAAGAACAGGGAATCTAAAATTTGAGCATGCATAATGGCATATCATTGCAAATATAGTTGGAGTGTGAACATCCTTCTACCACCATACCATTGCTTTTTAATGTGTGGATTTGAAAGCTTCAGTTCCAAGAAAGTTTTGCCTTTCTGTTTTATTTGCAAATGGATTTTTTTCTGGAAGTCAATTAACACATAGATGAGTACTAAACCTGTGCTATATTGTGTTACATTTCTGGAAGTGGCTTTTATGTCATGTGAATGCTCAGATATAATGCAGCAATTAATAATTAGGTAACATTGTGGAAATGAAATACACTGTTGTGTGAACACAGCCTTAGTCTCGCAGCATCAGGCAAAACCCCACCCACTCCATATGATTGGCTTACTCATCTGCAGAAATAGAATGTGAAACTGGTTGAGAAGCCTTTTATATTTATATCTAATTTGTCAATGGCCCATTGATTCTTCAACTGCCTATCAACTTCATTCAGAGCACTGTTCATCCACATTTTGCAGACACCATAGATTACTCATCTTATTCTACTATCTGTTTATAGCTCCCATTAATGCTAGTTGTGGGCATTGATAGGAAAATATTCCCCTTAGCAGAACATCTGTTTATGTATTTAATTCTATGCCTACACATTTTCTAGCAGCAATGAGTCTGGGTGCACAGTAGAAGCCAGTAGAAGAGAGGCTTCATCACCTCTGAGGTGATGAAAATTGTTGCCTAAAATGGGACCAGAAGTAAAAGGCGAACAAGATATTGTGAACTACACAAAGCTCTGTGTGAGACTGTTTCTGAATGTTTAAGGCGTAGCGTATAAAACCTTTAAGGGACACACATATGCATACATAGAACTACCATCCATCAAACTGAAAAGTGGCACGTGCTTTGCCCCCTTTTCACTGTAAGCCCTGCCCCCCTTTAGGATTGCTTTAGGATTCTCGCTGAAAATACTATATTGGGGCGCTGCCTTAAACATGGTTTGGGAGTGCATTGTGACCCCTCTGCACGATCATATATTGCCCCGAATGGGTCTCTCCCTCTGACCCAGAACCTTGGGAGCCCCAATGACAAAAAAGATGGTTTCATGGTACGTATTGTGTAACCTCACAGTGTGCTCCCAATCGGAAGTACAGGTTTCAAGTTCCCTTAGCCCTCCTGATGTCCTTAAGAACCCCAGGACTCCAATGGTGGAAATACTATTTTGGCGTGTAAATCCTCTATATGTCTTATCACTTCATCCTTGATCCTAAGAAATAGGTTTCAAGTCCTTACCATGCATCTGATCAAATCTTCATGATGTTATACGTAGGGCTATACTCAGTTCTGTAGCATGCAACCACACACACTGTTGCAAAGATGCAAGGAGAGCAGGGTTGTACTCTTAAGATTCCAGCCTCCCAAATAGTTCTGCCAGGCAAGGAGAAAGCTATTTTATATACATTGACTTAAGACACTTGAGCTCATACTGTCATCTTTTTTTCATAAGTGTTATTCCAGTTTCCTGACTAAATTTATATTTAAATTTCCCCTAGACTCAAATAAAAAGCTCTTAACTAAAAAGGAAGCCTTTAACTGGGTAAATGATTGCAGCAAAGTACAAATATTGCGAGGCTGTCGTTTCTCCTGTGCAATGTTGAAAGCTTTATTTATTTTCTTTTTCACAGACTTTGGCTTGAGCAACTGTGCAAGTATCTTGGGATACACTGATCCATTCAGCACGCAGTGCGGTAGTCCAGCCTACGCAGCACCAGAGCTGCTTGCAAGAAAAAAATACGGTCCCAAAATAGATGTTTGGTCCATGTGAGTTACTATAATTGAAAAAGCTACATGCATGCAGAGGGTGGGGGTTGACTTCTCTTGCTTGACTTTTATATAAGTTCTAATTGGAGCTGCTAGTAAATTAAAATATGTAACTTTGGAAAAACAGTTTACAGTGCTGATGATTGTAAATGTTAGCATTTACAATGTCAGGATTTCAATTTGCCCGGAATTTCCAAACGTAAGATGATATAGTTCATTCTCCAAAGTAATTGCTGCCTAGTGTGTTTAGTTGACCTTGGCCATTGGGATTTACAAACTGTGGTCTACAGCTGTTTGTGAAGCAGGGACAGAAGTTACCCAGAATGATGTTGTCAGAAAACAAGGAGACATGTTTGGCTGAAGAAACTTGTCAAATAATTTGCATTTATAGGAACTGATATGAACTTTTCAGTGACTGCAGTGGAAATCTTAATACTCCAGGGTACTACAAGCAAACAAAGATGAATGTGTTTCAAGAAATGTTCAGACTTCCCTGTCTGGAAATTTGAATTAATTCCATTGATCTTGGTGCAGCTAAGAACAGATACGAGTTTCCTTCTTTGGGATTTTTTGTTTTGCTTTGTCCTTTGTTTGCAAGCAGCTAGTTCAGAGAGCTTTATATTTTGAAACCCAATTTACAGTGTCTGTGCTTCGAGAAAATCCAAATCGAAACTGTCATACTACTCCTTAATTGGTTGCTCCTACATAGGGTCACCCATCCACAGCAAGCTGGAGCTGCTGAACGAAGCAGCTCTTACTGTGACACGATTCAAACAGAGAATGCCATCGTTCTTTTTTCTTGCCCTTTAACCTTCTCAGGCAATAACATCCTGCACCATTTAATTTAAGGAGAGAGACAGTTGACTCATAGCTTGTTCGTCTACAGGGAATGCTGCATATACCTTATAATGCACTTGCTTAGTCCTTTGGGTTTTGCACTTTCTTGGTGCATGGAAGCAGCATAGTGTGAATCAGTCCTATGTATGGTCCTTTTGCACATAAGCAAATCTTATTTCCATATAACCGAATCACCCCTTTAAACTGAACTTTTCAAATCAGAATTAATTCTTAAGTAATGTGATCCTTCATGCTATGAATGGTTTTATCTCTCAAGAAACTGGTTATGCAGATACTCTGAAGGGAGGCTAAATGCTACTGGGTTGGATTCAGACTTAACCACACCAAAGTTCCATTGGTTTTAGTGGGTCTACTCTAAACATGACTGAGACACAAGATCCAGCGGACTGTTGCTGCACTTCTAGAGAACATTGTGTTATGGCTTCTATGGGAAGAGCTCAGTGATAGAGCAAGTGCTTTGGGTGCAGAAAGTCCCAGTTTGGTTCCCTGCTTCTCCTATGAAAGGGATCTTGGATACCAAAGCTGGAAAAGACCATTGCCTTTAAAGAACATTTGAGACCTGCTGTCAATTGGAATAAACTGTGGTGGGTTAGATGGACCAATAGTAACATCATATGTTCATGTATGTTCCATAAGTGTGATAAACCATAGGCTAGTAAACTTAATGCATTCTTGCATGCCTTGTCTTGTTTCTAAGGGAATGGTTTCTCTTAACAGTTTCCCCCACCACTCTTCTTTTACAGTGGTGTGAATATGTATGCAATGTTGACTGGGACACTGCCGTTTACTGTGGAGCCATTCAGTCTGAGAGCACTGTACCAGAAAATGGTAGACAAAGAAATGAATCCTTTCCCTACTCAGCTCTCCACAGGTAAATAATGCAGTTACTTAAGTGCCACTCCATTTAAGTCCATACAGCCCTCATAATTAATGTTGCACTGTACATCACAACTTTTGTTTCTGGTGGGCAGAGTGTTTGGGCAGAACTTTGCTGAATCAACCTATTTGGTCTGTTATTTCACACCTGATTCGTACTTTCTGTCTACCTGTGTTGGTTTAACACAGAAGATGGAAGGGCTACATTCTTCCCAAGAGTAAATTCTATTGATCTTCCTGAGATTCCCTCCTGGGCAAGTTTGCAGTCAGAATGATTTGAAATTCACTTAACCCAATTCACTGTGGAAGTAATAAATCGTATTATTCCAATGCATTAGGAGTAATAAATAAAATCCTAAATAAAAGGGTTCCTTTTTTACATTCCAAGCTTGGTTTCAGTATAAGATGATAGTGAGAATTACCCATAGGATTTGTTTGAAGTGTGTTTGGTGTGTCAAGCTATAAATTAGTGTCATAATGGTTATGAAGCTCTGTTCCTTAATGACCAATTTTGTACTTTAGCTGCAAGTGGGTTAGAACAAACATAACTTTGCTTGCTTTGTTTCTCTGTCAGAGCTATTGAAACTGTGGTAATTTGACCAATCCAGTTCTTCAAATATTTGCATGCATGAGTAGTTTTCATGTCCCATTGAAGTAAATGGAAAGTTTCACTTTTGCTTCAACAGCACGTTTGGGGCGGGAGTTACTGCTGTTTTTTGTTACTTTCTTTGGTTTTGTTAGGTGGGGTCTTTTATTACTGGTGTCAGGAGTGGTATCAGAAGATTTACACTAAAAAAGGAGAAAATAATTAAGCGTGGCATGTTGGCAGTAGGCTCTTTCTACAAGTTTATGTTCAGTATTATTGCAGAAATTAAACTTACTTCACTGTTATGCTCTTACTTCTACCTGTTCACTATTGCAGCAGTATTGGCAATATTACTTAACAGAGCAGACCTAAGGTTGCTAGCCTTTATGCCGTGTTGCATAACTTTATACATCAAACGTTGATTAAAGTCACATTCAGTTATTGCATGTTTGGTGACTCTTCAGACACTGATTTAATATGACATTTCTTGTTATTTCTTTGTGCTTGTAACAGTAGAAATTCTTTGCAATGCTTCACAAATTGCTGCATTAGACAAGTTTTAGAAACAGAGTGAAAGGCTTTATATTTATTTATTTATTTATTTGACTGTTTCTCAGTGGATGATGGCACATTGCAAAGTTTAAATTAGCTGATAGGCTTCACCAAAGGATTGGTGTTCATTTGCACACTTACTCCCTTTCACATGTTCACATACCCGTCCATCCATGTTGATATCTGTTTGTCTTGGGAGACAACGGAGGAGTGTGCCTTGGAGGATGAAGTCAAACTGTTGGAAGGTTACAGCGCCTGCTGTGGCTGTAGAGACCGATACAGGAGAGACAGGTGAAGGGGTCTGGTTTGTCTCCTGCAGATGCACCATGGCATTTCTTCTCTCTGCGCTCCTCCCAAAGGTCATTTCTCCTCTGGTCACTGCTGAGGATACACAAACTGACTGTCTCCAGGCACTGCAATTGTCTGCAAGGGATTCCCCACACGACAGGGTTTATGTTGCCAGCCTTCATGTCATGTTTGCAGACATATTTGTAACACAGCGTTGGTCTGCCTGGGGCTCCCCATAGACAAAGAACCAGACAAAAAAGAGAGGAGCCACTAATGTGGTGTCTAGGCTTGAAGTGCCATACACCCATTTGCTGTTTTTGTGTGCCACAACCAAGCTGGAGTCATTGGCAGTTGTACCCAAAATTCAGATGTGGAAGGTGCACCTCCAGTTCAGAACCATTGATCTGAGCTTGAATCTGGGACCTTAAATGCAGCAAGCAATAACCCTGCTGGATCAGTCCAGAGATCCATCTAGTTCAATGTTGTGTTTCCCACTTTGACCAACAGGGTGCTTCCATGAAGCCCATAAGCAAAAGATAGGGAGGCAGTAGCCCCCCACCCCACCCCCATTACCCCACTGACCCATGGCATACTGATTCTGAATCTGGAGTGCCAAAGAGAGGCCAAGTGCCTGGTATTTATATTGAACCTGGCCAATCTGAGGCTTCAGATTGCCACCTGATCACAGGGGTTGATGTTCCCTCCTGGGTTCAGATAGGGTTCTGAGGCTTGAGCATGTAGGAAACTCCCAGCAGATCACCATGGTTTCAGACAGGGGTCTTTCCCAGCCCTACTTGGAGATGTCAGAAATTGAGCCCAGGGCTTTTACCAGTCTATGGTAGCTTATCAGGCTATATATAAGCCCAGAAGTCGCTGACCATTATGCATCTCCCCTTCCCCCAGCCCCAAGTAGTATGTCAAATAAATAGCAACATTTTCTGTAGGCTATTCAGCCCTCCTTCTTGAAGACGATTTTCCACAAAGCCTTTCAGGAAATATTGTTATTCTGTTAGTGATTTTAAATGGGCTGGATTCCAGAATTGTGGAACTTGGCAGAAACCTCAGACTAATTCATGGTTTCTCTTTTTATGACTGCTGAGCTTCAGATGTGTTCCATCTGCAAAAAACTTGAGGGTTAGTGGAATTACCTCCAAAAGGATTGTTCATACAGAGCACTGAAGTTTTAACTGTGTACCCATTTTATTCTGAAGCCTTCCCTCCTCCCCATTTCAAATTGCATTGGATGCAGAATTTATTGAAAATGCATACGCCACAGATTTATTGCTACAGCATCGTTGCTTGTATCCCAGGGATCAACTGTGAAAAATGGTATATTGATGGTAGGCAAATGCATGGTCCAACTTCATGAAGAATTAGGTGCTGGCATTTATAGCAGTTTACAATGGAGGCTGGTCCATTAGACCAAATGAGGTGCTGCTGCACCAACCCCAGTCTGCCCTCGGCCAACCCCCACCTGCTTGTCTTCTTACTTAACAGCAAGTCCAGGGGTAAGGTCTCTCCTCTAGTCTTATTGTTGCCCTTGTAGAATTCAGCAGGGAGGAAAATGGTGGGACAAAACTAGAATTACTCAGCTCCGCCTGTCATTGGCTCTATCTACTGTTGGCTGCCCTACCAGTCCTAATGAGCACCAGCTACCACTGAGTTTTTAACACTACAGATATGTTATTCATCTTATAGCAAACTTGGTAAACATGGAAGCTAAATTAAAATGAGGCTTTGGCTGCTGAGTGACATTGCTAACTCATTTCTTATAGACAGGCAGCCCAGACAGCAATTATGCTAGATCCTCCTGTGAACAATTGCATTAGATCAGAGCTAGCCAAAGTGGTGGTCTCAGATGTTTTGAACTACAGCTGTCTTCAGCCCCAGCTGGAATGGCCAATGGTCAGGAATGATGAGAGGGCGTAGTCCACAGTATCTGGAGGCCACCACATTAGCTCGTGATATACATGAGAATTTCCTATACTTCTTGTTGATCATCACCTTAACACATGTACCGTATTTTTCGCTCTATAACACGCAGTTTTTTCCTCCTGGAAAGTAAGGGGAAATGTCTGTGCGTGTTATGGAGCGAATGCCTACAGATGGCAGGGGAATCCGCTGCAGTTGTGAGCAGTCCGTGGCTCTCTTTGAAACTGCAAAGCGGGTGTAAGCGGCTCCTGTCAGCGAGCCGAGCCGGGCAGGAGGGAGAGAAGCAGAGCGGGGTTGGTTGCTTTAAAACAACCCCGTGCTCTATGTCCCTCTCTCTTCTCCACTGAGCTGCTAAGTAGCAGCAAAGCTTTTCAGCCAGCCTAGCCGGGAGGAGGGAGAGAAGCAGATCGGGGCTGGTTGCTTTAAAACAGCCCCGTGCTCTATGTCCCTGCCTGCAGTTTTTTGCTGTCCGATTTTGGATCAGCCACTGTAGGGGCTGTGTGTGTGTGTGTGTGTGTGTGTGTGCTTGAGCTATCGTTCTCCTCCTCCTCCTTCCTGTTCACTCTCACAGCGCCCCAGCGCTCTCCTGCGACTTTAGGAGTGATACTCTGTGTGTCTCTCTGTGTGTGAGGCATCGTTCTCCTTCTCTTGCTTCCCCTTCACTCTCCCAGCGCCCCTGCTACTTCCAGCGCCCCTGCGACTTTAGGATTGATACTGTGTGTGAGAGAGAGAGAGGGGGGGGGGATCGTTCTCCTTCTCTTGCTTCCCACTCCCAGCGCCCCTGCCTCTCCTGCGACTTTAGGATTGATACTGTGTGTGTGTGTGTGTCTCTGTGTGTGTGAGGCATCGTTCTCCTCTTGCTTCCCCTTCACTCTCCCAGCGCCCCTGCGCTCTCCTGCGACTTTAGGATTGATACTGTGTGTGAGAGAGAGAGAGGGGGGGGATCGTTCTCCTTCTCTTGCTTCCCACTCCCAGCGCCCCTGCCTCTCCTGCGACTTTAGGATTGATACTGTGTGTGTGTGTGTGTCTGTGTGTGTGTGTCTGTGTGTGTGTGAGGCATCGTTCTCCTCTTGCTTCCCCTTCACTCTCCCAGCGCCCCTGCGCTCTCCTGCGACTTTAGGATTGATACTGTGTGTGTGAGAGAGGAGGGGGGATCGTTCTCCTTCTCTTGCTTCCCACTCCCAGCGCCCCTGCCTCTCCTGCGACTTTAGGATTGATACTGTGTGTGTGTATGTGTGTGTGTGTTGTCTGTGTGTGTGTGTGTGTGTGTGTGTGTGTGTGTGTGAGGCATCGTTCTCCTCTTGCTTCCCCTTCACTCTCCCAGCGCCCCTGCGCTCTCCTGCGACTTTAGGATTGATACTGTGTGTGTGTGAGAGAGAGAGAGAGGGGGGGATCGTTCTCCTTCTCTTGCTTCCCACTCCCAGCGCCCCTGCCTCTCCTGCGACTTTAGGATTGATACTGTGTGTGTGTGTGTGTGTGTGTCTGTGTGTGTGTGTCTGTGTGTGTGTGAGGCATCGTTCTCCTCTTGCTTCCCCTTCACTCCCCCAGCGCCCCTGCGACTTTAGGGCGACTTTAGCATGGATCCACATGGATCCTCAGGATTTTTGCATTGGGCTACCCCAAACTCACCGTCAGAT